AGCTGTAATAGAAACCACAAAAGAAAATATACCCGTGATCAGAATCATCACTCTCATTAAAGATTTTCGTAAATATACGTACATAGGCTAATAATCTTATCTACTAAAAAACTTTTGCAAAACTAACTTATGACAGCTAGCCTGACCATACTACTGGACCGAATTACACGCGGTTTTATACCAAAAGAAAGGTTATCGGTCCTATATGTGCAGGTTTTATTTGTATTTTGAGAATATTTATGTTAATTGAGTAAAAAATGGAAATTCAACTTTTTCTATGGAGATTTAACATGGGGCTAATTCTATACATTGATTAATAGACAAGCGTATTTCTTGAAAACTTTTTTTTCTCAGCTCTGTGCATCGCAGGGAAAATCTACGCATACTGTTAGAAACATATTTGCCCGTAGCTGTGCAGAATCCCTTTATAAATTAAAATAGACACAAAAATAAGAACAAAAAATTCATTTAAAATAAAAAAAAATACATAGGCCCTTCTACAACAGTAAAGTAGGGTTCTCCTCAGTGGATTTCTTCAGCAGGAGTTAGATCGATGTAGTTATATATCGATGATCGATATAGGTCGCCTATGAGTAAAATAAGATTCCTTTATTAAGATACCCTAAGCTCGATCATTTGGAATTTTCTAAATTTAAAATGAAGCTAACATATTTTGTTATTTAAAGCAAAATAAGTATTATAAAACACGATCGTCTGATCTAAACAAAGGGTTCCATGAACTACCATGAAACAACATTGATAAGACTGAGTTAAAATAACACATTCATACCCATATCTAAATAGGTACGTATTTTCGCTATCGCAAACAGCACATTACACGCCGGGCTGATAGTTGCAAGATATCGTTGCGTTTTACTGCATTTCCCCATGAGGCATCAAGTCTCACCCAAGAGGTAGTTTGTATAGTTAAGTTAGCACTAGAACGTCCTTAAAGGCTGAATGAAATAGCAACTCATATAAAAATAGATACATCTATAATTCCTTGGTAACACAGCCACAGGCTCACCTCTGAGGCAGAGATCTATCTCTGGATACGTAGATGAAATCAGAACTGTTCAAACGAATGAATTAAGTATGATGTCAAACTGCCGATGAATTGAATGACAAGAACGAGGCCCTACTTGCATAAATAAACATCTGATCAACTTCGTAAATATACTGTAAGTATTTTTTGGCTATACAATAAAACCTATTATATTATTGGATCATGACTGTATTAATTTTTGTACCAGACTCACAAGTTAAATTAAATTAAATTAAATTAAATTAAATTAAATTAAATTAAATTAAATTAAATTTAAATTTAAATTTAAATTTAAATTTAAATTAAATTAAATTAAATTAAATTAAATGTTTGAGGCTTCATTCTCAAATGCGTATATCATATATATCAATAAACTTTAGTAAAACGTATTATAGCTAGCCTGACCATACTTCTGGACCGAATAACACGCGGGTTGTACCAAAAGAAAGGTTATCGGTTCTTCATGTGTAGGTTTTATTTCTATTTTCAGAATATTTATGTTAATTGGGTCAAAAATGGAAATTCAACTTTTCCTATAAAGATTTAACATGGGACTAATTCTATATATTAACAGACAAGCATATTTACTGAAAACCTGTTTTCTCAGCTCCTGTGCATCGCAGGTAAAATCTACGCATACTGTTGGAAATATATTTGCTTGTAGATGTGCAAGAATCACTTTATAAATTAAAAGAGGTTCAAAACTAAGCACAAAAAAATCAATTAAAAAAGGCCTTATGGGTTGCCATGTTGGTGCCAAAATAACAAAAAAATATAAACAGAAAATCTAAACAAATGGAAGAAATTCTTATCACATGTTTTATTTACAGCGTGGGGTGAAAATAGATCATTATGCACAAGATTTTTTACAGATTTGATTAACGTAGCTAAATAAGGTTATAACAAATAACATTTATCGTATGTTATTGGGAATTAAAACGTCTCTATGATTCTGCAGTTTTAAATAACTAGGTATTACCATACATAAAACATGTTAGTCTATGGTATTATCAAACCAATATTTGTATTAGCAAATTTCCCATATAGGGAATAAGCTATTACCGTAGTACTCATGGTAAGACCTGGACCCGGGACCGATTTACTTTTTCGTTTTGAGGTCCCTAGAGGCCAAAAACACCATCCGTTTAAATTCATATGTATATATGTATCCGTTAGCACGATTACTCGAGCAAAAATGATCCGATTTTGATGAAATTTGGAATAAACGTGTAAACCTACGTTTATTCAAACGCGACCAGCGAACCAGCATGATCGGACTATGGGAACGGGGGTTTATGGGGGGATTTATGGGGTAAAAATAGGTTTTTCCTATTTTTGACCCTAAAAACACAACATTTTACAATTTATTTCCAAACCATTTTGTAGAGCTTAAAAAACAAATAATTTAGTATATGGAAGCGTTATTTTGCGCCTAATGGTTACGGAGAAAATTCCAAAAAATTGTAATTTTCAAATTCCCATGTTATTCTTATGGAGAATAAGTCAACTGTTGTAGTTTGCTTGTTTATGAATATACTTTGATCCAATTTGGAAAATACAGTAATTTCTTACTAAACGATTAACATTTTACAAACAAAAAACACTTTTTCACCATCCCTGTTGCAGCAAACCTAAGTACTCGTTAGACTAATTCTATTTAATTGATATTTTTAAGGAGGCATTTCAGTGTAAATCCAATCAGGCTAATGGAAATTCGCTTAGTCTGCAGGTTTGCTGCGGCTGGGGTATCTATATAGGTTATTATGAACATGCCTTCTTATTAGTTACTTTGAAATATTTTTGATGATGTATCATCGTGTTGGCAACACACTTGTTGTATTGATTGTTGTGTTGGCAACGACTAGGGGTATATTATTGCCCAAGAAGGGTATTTTTGGTGTTTTCGTTTTAAAAGAAAATACCAAATTCGCATAACAATGTCATATTAAGGAAAATTTCAGAGTCTATTCTCAAAAACTGCCTGATTTTTGTAGAAAAGGAAGACGAGCAATAAACGCACGAACAACTACTTGGCAATGTTTTGAGATAGTTGAATGTAGAACACCTGCTTGAAAACAATGATTTTCATGATTATGTTAAATGTACAACATTTAAGAAAACAAACCTTATAAGTCATGGAGAAAACTGTGCAATTCTCTCTAAGCAGGCAAGTCTTTAAATAGTTACACCCGCTAATCGTATGGATCCATGCAGGATTATTTTTGCCTGAATTTCAAAATCTGGCTAAGATTGAGAAAATTTAGATTGGTTTAGGTTCAAGGTCGGGTTCAACCACAACTCTGGGTTGACTAGATTACATTAGCTTGCAAACACAGGTAAAATGCCGATACAATAGATATGTATGTAATGTCCACATCTTTACTTATGAAACTTCTTATAGATGATGATATATCTTAGCGAAAGTGATAAGGTAAATTAATGTATGTAAGCTAAGTTGTATTTTGTATTATATCGATGGGTTTTTTTTATTTATTGTTTTATCAAAAACCATGAAACGTAATCGCTCCGCTCATGTGGTTTTCACTGCTATGAAAGCGATCCTAGTTTTTACTGTTAGTTAAACTTTTTTTCTAAATGAAGCTCCAGACTAGTTCATTAATATTTTTTTTTTCATTTAATTACTTATTATAATCGCGCTATGATGTAAAATTGTCCATGTGTAACAGATTATTAAAATAGCCATTCTTTTGTCGATTCTTTTGTCGTTCTTTGACGGTACTATATTTGTAAACCGTAAATTAGGACAGTTGTTATAACGTTATCTTTTATAGTGAGGGGGGGCATTTTAACCTATCCTATACTAGGAGTGCATTAGCCGTTTAGCTTAAACTAAAAGTATGACTATCAATGTAAATTAGAAAAAATTTTACTCTGTAAGTACATGATTCTCTCCCTTCTCTTTTTGTATACAACTCGTAAAAAGAGTTCGTAGAAGGCTTTTAGCGCAAAATCCGTGCCAAAAAAACTTACCCAGATTTACCTTTTTTTACAAAATATTTCATCATTGTTCGCGTGTATGAAAATTAATGCTATAAACTGTCTACGTATTTAAGAAGTTTTTTCTGTATAAGTTTTTCCTCCCTTGTGGTTTATCAATGAGGATCCCATGATATTTTGTTGAATATTGTCGAAGTACATACTTTTTCATGTAAAACACTACAAATTTACATACTAGACTTACTTTCAACACACATTACTTAAATTAAAAATTTACCCTTTGATCATACTGTGTATTCCAATCTACGAATCTGCAGTAGTCCGATTTTTGTAATTCCTTAAAATCTTATTTTATTGGCATACTGAGATAGGTGATTGTATTAATAGTTACTTCTAATAGTATCATTATAGTTTAGCATTTCTTAAAGAATAATACTGTACCAGAAGGGTTTACATTTCAACCAAGTACAATTCGTTAATTGTAGTGTACAATCGATCGTCTGTTTTTCGTTTTTGTTTTCATTATCGTAACAACAGGAACTATCAACCATTGATTTTATAAAAACTCGCCCTTTCTGCTGAATATTTAAACATGTAACAACGAAAAATAACATAAAAATACTTAATTTTGGACATAAAATGATTAATATATTCTTTAAATGACTAAATGTACATAAATAAACGTCATAAGTCTAACTAACAATTCCCTTAGAAAAGGTAAACCCACTGATCGAAAAAGAGTACTCCCTCAACAGGCTAAACTAGAGGTAAAAATTCGATAAGCATTAATTTTAAATTTGCTAACATAATATTGATTTATTTCAACAAGAAACTCTACTGTACAAATGAAATAGAATAATTAACAAGAATAACAATAAATTAAATAAATAGGTTTGTTGAAGCTGTTGTCGTAAGTTTGTATCACGATGACATGTGATTATTTGTATTTGTTTTATGTGTTCCATTGTAGCCGCTGGTTCCTCGGCGCGGCGTACACTATCCATTGTTGTTCTGGTTGTTCTGGTTGTTCTGGTTGTTCTGGTGGTTGTGATGGTTGCTGGTAGGGCGGTGGGCGCGGTACACTACCTCCTGGGCTCCACTACTCATGCTACGACCCCATCCCCCATGATGCTCGGGCTCAGCGTAGATTACCTGGAAATCACCACAATATATTTGAGCTCATTACTAGGAAAGTAAGGATTAGGTGGTCACTGTCCTATAATTAACTAGCTAAAAATAATATTGAAATAAAGGGTTGGATTTGTAATTTAAAATACGTTCAATGAAACAAAATCATGCAGTGCGAAATAAATTAAACCCACTGGGCTTATTTGTGAATGTTTTTTTTTTATAAATAGTGTCTGATGGTACATAACTATATAAGTAAAAATGAGGAAAGCCTAGGAAGTTTATGAGACATTTTTTAATTAATCAAACATTAGATTCATTTCTGCATAAGCTTTGAAATGCCTCTTTCACCTAAAAAAATTACCATTCAAATCTTGGTTATATAAAGACAATGCAAAAATTAAGTATAACCACTGATCTGAGTCACTCACTAACTTTGTGCTTTAAAAAATTACTTTGTGCTTTTATTATCTTCATTCAAAAACTGTTTTTTTTTTTTTTATGGCTGAAGGATAAGAGTGAAGAAGTTTAATAGCAAGAATCATAATGATCACCTGAGAAGAGTGTGGCTGGTGATTGTGGCTGAGAAGACTCTTGAGGCCGATGATACCTGCCAGCAGCAGCGCGACTTTGCCTACCAGCAGCGCCTTGCCTGCTATCAGCGCGATCTTGCCTAGCGCTAGCTGCAGCAACATGGCGGCGAACGCTCCGAACACCAAGAACACTCCGCCACTACCCTTGCTCTTGTAGCCCTTGAACACCTTTTGTCGCCCTGTCCAAATCCGACAAAAACATACCTTAACATTTAGTCAGTATTTACCACACAAGACACAGAATGCTGCAGTGTTGACCATCTGCTAATAACTAAGTTTAGTAACTGATAATAAATTTGGCAAACATAAATTGTGTACGTGAGTTTCTTAATTATTTGTATTGATATTTGTATAAGGATACATTAGGTGTAACTTAGTCTAAAATAAATGTGTCCATAGTCTAGTGTCTGTACAGTAAGCACAAGTTTTTCTCCTAATTAAAGTGCACAATTATTTTAGAGATAAATGTTTAAACTTACATATTTAACAACAGCTATAGTTTTGTTAAACCAACCCAACCAAGTGGTATAATCTATTCTGTTATTTTTATCTCTAGTTTAATCACTGTAAAGCTGGAACAACAACTTACAGAAACACATCTCTGTAATATCTCTTGCCCATGAAAACTTTGAAAAATACCATCATGCATTTGCTATATTATCAAGGAATTTTGATTAAAACTAAATCTTCTAAAAAAGGTGTGGTTGGTTTTGTGCGAGGAATTAGTCCGGTCAATGTAGCTTCACCGGATTCAACCTTGCCTAAAACCAAGAGAACTAACATATTATTTTTAAGACGTTACAGCTAGCTTTATATCATATGGGCAGCGTAATAGCGTGTTATATAAGTTGGCTACTTACTATACATGAGAAATGAATGTTTGGATAATTTAAGTGTTATGATGCGTAAAAGCAAACATGCAAACACGTTTAAGCATTTATAGTTTATTTATTAAAAGTTTTGTTGTTGGTAACAAATCATGTGAATTATATTACCTTCAAATATATCGGAGGGCACGTTGAGCTGGATAGTCCTAGTCTCCAGGTACTTGTTGATGCGGTCAGAGATCATCTTGTCCAGGGCGGAGTTCTTCTGTCCCAGGTCACGAGGGAGGGAGGCCTCTACATCGGCGACCTTCGGGTCTGCCCCAGCGTCCGACAATTTGGGATCCTTGACTACAGCCAGGAACTCGGACACCGGCAGCGAGTCCAACGACAGCGCTCTGTCCAGGAGGTTTACTGCTCTCAGCTAAATAAAGCAGTGATACGTATTGGCATGGATAAAACATAGTATGTTATATCTATGGCATTGGTTAACAGTTTACAGATTAGCGACATTGACAAAAATATACTTGTTACTTTTGTGTTAGCGTTTAAATTTTAACTTTGTGTTATTTTAGGTAATGGAAAGACGCTTTACATGTCAAATTTAACTCAACCAAAGGGAAGAAAAGACAATTTGAATTAAAATGTTCACTTGAGAATATACGGTGGACAGAATACTAGAATATTGCTGTAATTCGGCTATTTATAACTATACGTTATTTAATTAAATTAAAATTGTTTATACTACAGGTTTATAAAAAGTAATGGTGGAAAACTAAACGGTTGGTACGTTCGATTCCGTGTTTTCAAACAGCTCATTGTTACACCAATGGGAAGAGCGTGTTCATAAGTTTGATTTGACATTGTTATGTTTTGTCTCAGTTGGTTAGTGGATTACCACGAAGCCTGCCAACAAATGACTACCAAAAAACCAAGAAAAAACATTTTATGTTTTAGAATCTTCTCGTACAACTCCTATTGTTTGCGTTCAGCTGATCTTTCGGACCAAATTTAGGAAAGAGGCTCCTTATCGGACTTACTCCGCCAGATGATGTGGAAAGAATAGATGCTATGTTTACGCGGAGTCCAATAACCTCGACAGTCAACGCCAGTAAGGTTCTTCACCGCAGTTACTGTCTTACGCAAGCGTTTGAGATCAAACCCTTACAAACTGCAGTTATTAAAAGCATTTAACCTTAATCGCTAGCCTAAACGCACAGATTTTCGCCATGATAGCATGACTCAACTAAGCAAGCGAGATATAACATAAGCTTGTCAAAAAATGTACAACCACGCCCTTTACATTGGTGTGTGTCCATTGCTGTATGGAATCACGGAAACGGACGTACCAAGCATTTAGTGTTGCACAATTTTGTAATAATCCTGTGTACGTTCGGTGCATTATTTGAAAACAGTACAATTTCTAAAATTACAGCCTATGGTGCATCTATCACTTTTCATTAATTGTTAATGTTGCATATTTTGTTTTCGTTTTAGCCTTGGTCATAAGGTCTATGAATAGGCCTACCCTGTCAATCAAAATGTTTAATACCATGTGCATCTATGTGCAAGTCTTTATCGTACGTAAAATGCTAGATTAAAGTAAATAATGAGATAATAGATCTTCTTTAGAAAATACGGGAAAGGATACTGTACAAGTATATCACAGAGGTAGGCAAACTATGGGGAGTGACCTTTGAATCTCCGTCGTACACTGGATACTGTAAACTATAGTCATGTAGTTATTCCAGTATAATATTTATTTAGGCTCAACACTAGCTCTTCTGTTAATTTTTATTGTAAAACTGAATTTCCCACCTTTATAAATAACAACCGTATTCAATTAGGTGTGATGCAAATTTGTTTATGTTTATGATTGCTAATAACTCCACATATTAATCAACACAGCTACATTTTGCTGTTTTCCGCTGTAATGTAGGGTGGAAATGTTTGTACCGTAGTTTCTTTGGTTTGGTTTATTTCTTTGGTGTTTCTTTAGCTTACCTTAAGACATGAGTACATATCAGGATCAGCTGAGCACTTGTCGAAGGCTCGTGACAGGACCTTGAGGGGCCCCGTCGTATCATTGTCGGTGGGGGCGGTGGAGGCGGCGGCGGGGGCGGTGAGGACGGCCAGCAGTGCGAGGACCAGGGGTAGGAACATTGTGAGTGGAGGCGGCAGCACACACTGACCGTACCCCACCATAACACACGATATATACCATATACTGATCATTGCACCGTGATCTGGAGCATAACTAATCAAACCGACCTGTTTAGCATTGCTAATTGATATTCAATTGGCCGTTTAATAAACTCAAGAAGAGTCCTGTTAGCATGTGTAACTTTCAAATGTAACCTAAAACAGTGTAGTCATACCATTCGTCAACAGTGGGAGGAGACACGCCAAATGGGAGAAGAGTTTTTTGTAAGTAATCAATTCAACCTATGATTTCAGATGGTGTTAAAAAAACGTGATAGGTCATTTGATGTAAACACTAATTCTTTCCCTCTATAAAAAATCAAGAATGACGTGTCCCCTAATTAACAAAGCAGTTTTATTCTAGCGTTTAATATCAAAAAGTCAATTTTTTAAAGTAATCCTTTCTTCTAGAATAACTGATAACCAAGGTTGAAATCGTTTTTATTACTGTTTATTACTAAGTAGTGTTAACTTTAAGCATACTAACGCAATACAGTACGTCACATACAGTACATCACATAAAAACTGTAACACTAACGAATAATATAGTAAACTGAACTAATATTTATTTAAGTTTCCTAATCTTCTTGGGAAAAAAACTTGTTTGACTGGTTTATGGTATCATTTTTATAAAACTTCTTCTTCCTTGTGGGTGGGAAAATCAGCAAAGGGCAAAATTGTCCATGTGTAACAGATTATTAAAATAGCCATTCTTTTGTCGATTCTTTTGTCGTTCTTTGACGGTACTATATTTGTAAACCGTAAATTAGGACAGTTGTTATAACGTTATCTTTTATAGTGAGGGGGGGCATTTTAACCTATCCTATACTAGGAGTGCATTAGCCGTTTAGCTTAAACTAAAAGTATGACTATCAATGTAAATTAGAAAAAATTTTACTCTGTAAGTACATGATTCTCTCCCTTCTCTTTTTGTATACAACTCGTAAAAAGAGTTCGTAGAAGGCTTTTAGCGCAAAATCCGTGCCAAAAAAACTTACCCAGATTTACCTTTTTTTACAAAATATTTCATCATTGTTCGCGTGTATGAAAATTAATGCTATAAACTGTCTACGTATTTAAGAAGTTTTTTCTGTATAAGTTTTTCCTCCCTTGTGGTTTATCAATGAGGATCCCATGATATTTTGTTGAATATTGTCGAAGTACATACTTTTTCATGTAAAACACTACAAATTTACATACTAGACTTACTTTCAACACACATTACTTAAATTAAAAATTTACCCTTTGATCATACTGTGTATTCCAATCTACGAATCTGCAGTAGTCCGATTTTTGTAATTCCTTAAAATCTTATTTTATTGGCATACTGAGATAGGTGATTGTATTAATAGTTACTTCTAATAGTATCATTATAGTTTAGCATTTCTTAAAGAATAATACTGTACCAGAAGGGTTTACATTTCAACCAAGTACAATTCGTTAATTGTAGTGTACAATCGATCGTCTGTTTTTCGTTTTTGTTTTCATTATCGTAACAACAGGAACTATCAACCATTGATTTTATAAAAACTCGCCCTTTCTGCTGAATATTTAAACATGTAACAACGAAAAATAACATAAAAATACTTAATTTTGGACATAAAATGATTAATATATTCTTTAAATGACTAAATGTACATAAATAAACGTCATAAGTCTAACTAACAATTCCCTTAGAAAAGGTAAACCCACTGATCGAAAAAGAGTACTCCCTCAACAGGCTAAACTAGAGGTAAAAATTCGATAAGCATTAATTTTAAATTTGCTAACATAATATTGATTTATTTCAACAAGAAACTCTACTGTACAAATGAAATAGAATAATTAACAAGAATAACAATAAATTAAATAAATAGGTTTGTTGAAGCTGTTGTCGTAAGTTTGTATCACGATGACATGTGATTATTTGTATTTGTTTTATGTGTTCCATTGTAGCCGCTGGTTCCTCGGCGCGGCGTACACTATCCATTGTTGTTCTGGTTGTTCTGGTTGTTCTGGTTGTTCTGGTGGTTGTGATGGTTGCTGGTAGGGCGGTGGGCGCGGTACACTACCTCCTGGGCTCCACTACTCATGCTACGACCCCATCCCCCATGATGCTCGGGCTCAGCGTAGATTACCTGGAAATCACCACAATATATTTGAGCTCATTACTAGGAAAGTAAGGATTAGGTGGTCACTGTCCTATAATTAACTAGCTAAAAATAATATTGAAATAAAGGGTTGGATTTGTAATTTAAAATACGTTCAATGAAACAAAATCATGCAGTGCGAAATAAATTAAACCCACTGGGCTTATTTGTGAATGTTTTTTTTTTATAAATAGTGTCTGATGGTACATAACTATATAAGTAAAAATGAGGAAAGCCTAGGAAGTTTATGAGACATTTTTTAATTAATCAAACATTAGATTCATTTCTGCATAAGCTTTGAAATGCCTCTTTCACCTAAAAAAATTACCATTCAAATCTTGGTTATATAAAGACAATGCAAAAATTAAGTATAACCACTGATCTGAGTCACTCACTAACTTTGTGCTTTAAAAAATTACTTTGTGCTTTTATTATCTTCATTCAAAAACTGTTTTTTTTTTTTTTATGGCTGAAGGATAAGAGTGAAGAAGTTTAATAGCAAGAATCATAATGATCACCTGAGAAGAGTGTGGCTGGTGATTGTGGCTGAGAAGACTCTTGAGGCCGATGATACCTGCCAGCAGCAGCGCGACTTTGCCTACCAGCAGCGCCTTGCCTGCTATCAGCGCGATCTTGCCTAGCGCTAGCTGCAGCAACATGGCGGCGAACGCTCCGAACACCAAGAACACTCCGCCACTACCCTTGCTCTTGTAGCCCTTGAACACCTTTTGTCGCCCTGTCCAAATCCGACAAAAACATACCTTAACATTTAGTCAGTATTTACCACACAAGACACAGAATGCTGCAGTGTTGACCATCTGCTAATAACTAAGTTTAGTAACTGATAATAAATTTGGCAAACATAAATTGTGTACGTGAGTTTCTTAATTATTTGTATTGATATTTGTATAAGGATACATTAGGTGTAACTTAGTCTAAAATAAATGTGTCCATAGTCTAGTGTCTGTACAGTAAGCACAAGTTTTTCTCCTAATTAAAGTGCACAATTATTTTAGAGATAAATGTTTAAACTTACATATTTAACAACAGCTATAGTTTTGTTAAACCAACCCAACCAAGTGGTATAATCTATTCTGTTATTTTTATCTCTAGTTTAATCACTGTAAAGCTGGAACAACAACTTACAGAAACACATCTCTGTAATATCTCTTGCCCATGAAAACTTTGAAAAATACCATCATGCATTTGCTATATTATCAAGGAATTTTGATTAAAACTAAATCTTCTAAAAAAGGTGTGGTTGGTTTTGTGCGAGGAATTAGTCCGGTCAATGTAGCTTCACCGGATTCAACCTTGCCTAAAACCAAGAGAACTAACATATTATTTTTAAGACGTTACAGCTAGCTTTATATCATATGGGCAGCGTAATAGCGTGTTATATAAGTTGGCTACTTACTATACATGAGAAATGAATGTTTGGATAATTTAAGTGTTATGATGCGTAAAAGCAAACATGCAAACACGTTTAAGCATTTATAGTTTATTTATTAAAAGTTTTGTTGTTGGTAACAAATCATGTGAATTATATTACCTTCAAATATATCGGAGGGCACGTTGAGCTGGATAGTCCTAGTCTCCAGGTACTTGTTGATGCGGTCAGAGATCATCTTGTCCAGGGCGGAGTTCTTCTGTCCCAGGTCACGAGGGAGGGAGGCCTCTACATCGGCGACCTTCGGGTCTGCCCCAGCGTCCGACAATTTGGGATCCTTGACTACAGCCAGGAACTCGGACACCGGCAGCGAGTCCAACGACAGCGCTCTGTCCAGGAGGTTTACTGCTCTCAGCTAAATAAAGCAGTGATACGTATTGGCATGGATAAAACATAGTATGTTATATCTATGGCATTGGTTAACAGTTTACAGATTAGCGACATTGACAAAAATATACTTGTTACTTTTGTGTTAGCGTTTAAATTTTAACTTTGTGTTATTTTAGGTAATGGAAAGACGCTTTACATGTCAAATTTAACTCAACCAAAGGGAAGAAAAGACAATTTGAATTAAAATGTTCACTTGAGAATATACGGTGGACAGAATACTAGAATATTGCTGTAATTCGGCTATTTATAACTATACGTTATTTAATTAAATTAAAATTGTTTATACTACAGGTTTATAAAAAGTAATGGTGGAAAACTAAACGGTTGGTACGTTCGATTCCGTGTTTTCAAACAGCTCATTGTTACACCAATGGGAAGAGCGTGTTCATAAGTTTGATTTGACATTGTTATGTTTTGTCTCAGTTGGTTAGTGGATTACCACGAAGCCTGCCAACAAATGACTACCAAAAAACCAAGAAAAAACATTTTATGTTTTAGAATCTTCTCGTACAACTCCTATTGTTTGCGTTCAGCTGATCTTTCGGACCAAATTTAGGAAAGAGGCTCCTTATCGGACTTACTCCGCCAGATGATGTGGAAAGAATAGATGCTATGTTTACGCGGAGTCCAATAACCTCGACAGTCAACGCCAGTAAGGTTCTTCACCGCAGTTACTGTCTTACGCAAGCGTTTGAGATCAAACCCTTACAAACTGCAGTTATTAAAAGCATTTAACCTTAATCGCTAGCCTAAACGCACAGATTTTCGCCATGATAGCATGACTCAACTAAGCAAGCGAGATATAACATAAGCTTGTCAAAAAATGTACAACCACGCCCTTTACATTGGTGTGTGTCCATTGCTGTATGGAATCACGGAAACGGACGTACCAAGCATTTAGTGTTGCACAATTTTGTAATAATCCTGTGTACGTTCGGTGCATTATTTGAAAACAGTACAATTTCTAAAATTACAGCCTATGGTGCATCTATCACTTTTCATTAATTGTTAATGTTGCATATTTTGTTTTCGTTTTAGCCTTGGTCATAAGGTCTATGAATAGGCCTACCCTGTCAATCAAAATGTTTAATACCATGTGCATCTATGTGCAAGTCTTTATCGTACGTAAAATGCTAGATTAAAGTAAATAATGAGATAATAGATCTTCTTTAGAAAATACGGGAAAGGATACTGTACAAGTATATCACAGAGGTAGGCAAACTATGGGGAGTGACCTTTGAATCTCCGTCGTACACTGGATACTGTAAACTATAGTCATGTAGTTATTCCAGTATAATATTTATTTAGGCTCAACACTAGCTCTTCTGTTAATTTTTATTGTAAAACTGAATTTCCCACCTTTATAAATAACAACCGTATTCAATTAGGTGTGATGCAAATTTGTTTATGTTTATGATTGCTAATAACTCCACATATTAATCAACACAGCTACATTTTGCTGTTTTCCGCTGTAATGTAGGGTGGAAATGTTTGTACCGTAGTTTCTTTGGTTTGGTTTATTTCTTTGGTGTTTCTTTAGCTTACCTTAAGACATGAGTACATATCAGGATCAGCTGAGCACTTGTCGAAGGCTCGTGACAGGACCTTGAGGGGCCCCGTCGTATCATTGTCGGTGGGGGCGGTGGAGGCGGCGGCGGGGGCGGTGAGGACGGCCAGCAGTGCGAGGACCAGGGGTAGGAACATTGTGAGTGGAGGCGGCAGCACACACTGACCGTACCCCACCATAACACACGATATATACCATATACTGATCATTGCACCGTGATCTGGAGCATAACTAATCAAACCGACCTGTTTAGCATTGCTAATTGATATTCAATTGGCCGTTTAATAAACTCAAGAAGAGTCCTGTTAGCATGTGTAACTTTCAAATGTAACCTAAAACAGTGTAGTCATACCATTCGTCAACAGTGGGAGGAGACACGCCAAATGGGAGAAGAGTTTTTTGTAAGTAATCAATTCAACCTATGATTTCAGATGGTGTTAAAAAAACGTGATAGGTCATTTGATGTAAACACTAATTCTTTCCCTCTATAAAAAATCAAGAATGACGTGTCCCCTAATTAACAAAGCAGTTTTATTCTAGCGTTTAATATCAAAAAGTCAATTTTTTAAAGTAATCCTTTCTTCTAGAATAACTGATAACCAAGGTTGAAATCGTTTTTATTACTGTTTATTACTAAGTAGTGTTAACTTTAAGCATACTAACGCAATACAGTACGTCACATACAGTACATCACATAAAAACTGTAACACTAACGAATAATATAGTAAACTGAACTAATATTTATTTAAGTTTCCTAATCTTCTTGGGAAAAAAACTTGTTTGACTGGTTTATGGTATCATTTTTATAAAACTTCTTCTTCCTTGTGGGTGGGAAAATCAGCAAAGGGCAGGACTCTTTAAAAAAGTTACTATAAGAATAAAATACCCCCACTGTAGCAAACCTGCAGACTTAGCGAATTTTCATGCAACTGCTTTGATTTTAAATTAAATCTATTTCAATATCATTAGGTTTGACGAGTACCCAGGTTTTCTGCTACAGGGAGGATAATAAAGTGAGTTTTTTGGTAAAACATTAATAGCTCAGTATAAAAAAATACATTTTTCGAGTTTGATCGCAATATATAGACACAAACAAGCAAACTACAACAGTTTACTAATTCTCCAAAAGAATAACATGGAAATTTTAAATTTACCTTTTTTGCATTTTATCCATAACCAATAACTATACAAAAACACTTCAATATACTAAATTATTTGTTTTTTAAGATCTTCAAAATGGTCTATAGATAAATTGGGAAGATTTTGGGACAGATTTAACCGATTCAGGCAGGTATTGTAAAACTTAACACTAGAATAGTAGGGAGAAGATTCGAAAGTTAAAGATTTTCGTTTAGGGTATAAAAAGCAGCTTTTGTGTCTGGTATTATAATTATGACTGTCCGAATTGACAAAAGTTTAGAACTATTTTGTTACATATGTTAATTTTATCTTGTAACATTTAGATGTACAAACTGGGAAAGTTAAGAATGTTGTTACTTTTAAAAATATTTTCTCAATAATCTCTTGCTTTGATAGAATAAATTGTTCTAATGATTTTTTTTGCATTTTAAATACTTTTTTCCTTTTGTCGGAATTCCATTATACCGCAGTTTAGAATAGGATAAACATATCCATAGTATACAATCATAAGAGTGGAAACATCAACTTATCTAGAAAGAATCTGAGTTACAAAATATGCTTTATTTAACTTTATGATGACGTCTCTTATGTGAGTTCTCCAGGTTAATTTATGACCTACTGTTATTCCTAAAAATTTTGCACAGTCAGCAAGGTTGCAAGGTAGAGTTATATTTTTGTAAAAAAAATTTTATTACATTTTTATGGGGTTTGCCACTCCTAACGGTATTTTTTTTTATTTTTACCGTTAACCTTTTAAATGAAAAATATTTAGGTTGTTATTGGATTATCGTAAAGGGATATAGTTAAAATGTATTATATCACTATAGTATATAACGATTAGCAGAAAATCAAGGGTGTTTTATATATATATATTTTTTTATTGATACAACTTTAGTACCATTTGTCCCATTTTAATTATCTTCGTCTTTAATTATAGGCTTGGTCTTGAACTAAAAACTCGTGTATACTCATACGTCTGAGTTTAACTGTTGCCCTTCAAAATAAAAAATTAACTAACATTTTGAAAATTTTTAACATTACAAAAACTTTTTGTACAGTAAATATGCATAACAATCTCTGAAAAACTTCAGCATTTATTCAGTCTTGAGATGTATAGACTTATGCATTTGAGAACAAGGAAATTTCAAACTTGCGGGGAACGGATCATAACTTGATGAAACTTATGTGATAGTATGCCAACACTACTCCGCAAAGATCTACCAGCTAAATGTTTAATTTATTTTCTTCACGAAACAAATTTAGAAATACTTAAAACTTTATATTTTCTTGTTTAGAAAGAAAAAATATTTTTGTTATAAAAAATACAGTATTTTGTTATTTTTTCAAAAATTTTACATTCTTTAAAAAATACTTGGATTGATTTAGTAAATGTCGATTAGGTAGAAAAGAACTTTAAAGCTTTTGTAATTCCTGTTTCATAAGCGTTGGAAACATTGATTTATCATAATGGTTGAAGATAGCAGAAGTATTAGACCATGAGCCACCAATATGAAACCCTCCCCCCCCCGTGGGAATTTATGACTTATACTTTTTTTTGTTGGTATTACCTACCAGATTAAGAATTCAGTTGTTTGCCTCTTTTAAATTACAGCGTATTCCGGACAATAAAGAAAAACTGTTAAATTTAAAAACTGTTTGATTTAAATTACATAAGGGTAGCCTGCGTTAATTACTGGGGAAATATTTTTTTATTGACTTCTTCAGTATGTATTCAAAGGCTTCAAATGAAAATAAAAAAAGTTAATAAAATACCCCCGCTGCAGCAAACCTGCAGGCAATGCGGATTTCAAATTGACCTGAATTGATTTTCAATTAAATCTATTTAAATAACATTAGATTTAACGAGTACCTCTAGGAAAGAGATTTTAAGAGATTCTATTTAAATTAAATAAATTTTATTGAGAAATAGTTTACGTAAATTTTACTGGAATGTAAGGTTCCAGTAAAATTAACGTATAAAACTTTGTTTTCCTCGTATCAAAATCGGATTTGCGACTGTAATTTTCTTTTTAAATTTCTTTAAAATAATGTGCTGATTGATATGGGTTGCCTTTACAAACATTTAAGTTACTCTTAGCAACCCTGTTTGTAGGTGGGGGGTGAATTTCAAAATATCACCAAAAAGAACCTTAGAAACGTGTATTGAAGCTTGTTTGAATTTATGCATATTTGTGCTGAGACCATTCATTATTTAGCAGGTTAACCCGTTGTTCCTTATTTTTACCATTAGCTAGGATTTTTTTCCAATCCCGTGGGATCTTGATTTTGGACCTCTCATTAAAAACGTGTCTCCAAATCCCCTTCTCCCTTTCAATGTTTTAATAGATACACCTAAATAGGTATCCGTAATAAAGTATATCCTTCTGAATTTCGGAAAACGGCTGAAGGCAATCTGTGCTAGTTCACCAGAGGTTTCTGGAATATTAGTAAGAACCTAAAAGTAAGCCATACCGTCAATTACATACATACATTCTTCAATCTTGGAAGGTTCGTCTACTATATACCCTTGTTCTCCAAAGCATGGAGCAGTTTGGCCTTTTCTGTTTTTGTTGGGCATCCATCGGTAGTGGGTAATGCCCATGGTCCTGGATCTAATGGGTATGTCATCAGCTTCTCAAGGTTAATATCACATTCCTGGGACAGCAGTAAAACTCCAGAAAAATATTTCTTTTAGCTCATATCTCAACTAATCTGTTTGCAATCAGCTTTCCCTAGATTATCTACATTGAGTAAATTGTCTTCCACCGATTCGGGTACAGGTCTTCCAGCTGATAAACAGACCATCTAGGAATTCTGATCACGGTTTTCAACTTCAAGCAGAATAATGCATTGTTCAAAAGCATCAAGTACAGTACTTGCAAAATACTTTGCTCACTTAATTCATTTTATTTGCTTGCATGTCATTGTGAGAACAATCTGATGACTTCACCATACTTGCATTTTCAAATTCTAACTAGCTGTGGGCCCGTCCTACGTCAGAAATCAACTATTCAAATCAAATCAAACTAAAAAATCTATACTAAAGGACCCATGCTGCGCTGCAGCGTTAAAATAAATATCATATCTGAGATTTTTGATTGTGTAATACAGTATCTTAAACTTAACTGATTCAAACGATCAATAGCTCAAATTAAAGCCTATAATTGACTGATTATTTTGAGTCTAAAACATATAAAAAAACGTAAACAATACTGGAGCTATTGATATTCAATCATAGAAAAACCTTATAATTTTTTTTATGTTGGATGTTCACCTTGCGTTTGCTTGAAAACAGTCCGATTTGAATAACTAATATCTTAAATGCAAGCCGGTATTTCACTGAAGGTTCTTAGACCAAAATATATAGGGTTATATAATTACAAATGGTAAAATACTGTACAATTTAAATTGAAATACGAATTAAAAAATATATCAAACCTATGTTTTTCGGTCGAGTAATAAAGTAGATAAATATACGACGATGCTTGATGTGAAATATATGTGTGCATACTACCAATTTAAGACCTCAATCATGAAGATCGGACGTGTAGAAGAGCCAAAGAAACTCGGAAAAGAAAAAAACAAATTTAACTCCCTTTAGAAATAGATGGGGGGTAAATTTAATTTACGTATAAGCCGAGTGGGACTCTCGATAAATATATACTGATGCTTGATGTGAAATCTGTGCGTGCATACCTTCAATTTGAGACCTCAATAATGAAAATCGGGTGGGTAGAAGCGCCAAACTAACTCGGAAAAGAAAAACCAAATTTAACTCCCATAAGAAATACATGGGAAAAAATGTTGTTTACGTATAAGCCGAGTGGGACTGTAGGCAACTATATGCCGATGCTTGATGTGAAATCTGTGCGTTAATACCTTCAATTTGAGACCTCAATCATGAAAATCGGTCGGGTTGTAGAGCCAAACGAACTCGCTAAAGAAAAACCATTTTTCCAATATATATATTCATGATATTTTCGTGTTTTCCGGAACATG